GCCGCCCGCCTCGCCGCCGCCGCCGCCGCCGCCGCCGTGCGCGCAGAAATCCTTGAGGCCGCACGACAGCACGCGGCTGATGATGGTGCCGGGGAAGGAGGAGCCCACGTGCGCCACCACCCAGTCGAAATGCGGCGAGTGCTGCACCGACGTGTCCAGCAGCGCGTCCACGCAGGCGTCGGGGCAGCTGCCCGCCATGGCGGCCAGGCACTGGCTGTAGATGTCCAGCAGCGCCCGCGTGGCCGGGCACGCCATCCAGAGCTGCAGCAGCTCGTTGAGGCTGGCGGCGGGCGGCACGCCGGGCCGGCCGGCGTATTTGCTGCTCAGCTGCCCCATCAGCTCGCTGGCCCAGGCGGCCACGCCGGGCGCCCACGCCCGCGGGTTGGCGGCCACCAGCTCGGCCAGCGAGCGCCGCGCCTCCTGCAGCACCTCGGCGCCGGGCGTGGCCTTGGGGGCGGGGCCGGGGGCGGGGCTCTCGCGCTGCAGCAGGTGCTGGCACACCTGGTCGTCGAAGAGGCCGCGCAGGTGCTGCAGGGCGGCGTGGCGGGCGGGGGGCAGGCAGCGCAGCAGGCGCAGCGCGCAGCGGGCGTGGGCGGGCGGCGACAGAGGGGTGCCCTGCACGGGGTCCAGCCCGCTGAGGAACGCCTTCACCTCCTGGGACAGCTCCTGGGCGCTGTGCGGGGAGAAAACGGGGAAAAATGGGTTAAAATGGGGTTAAAATGGGGTTAAAAGGGGGTAAAATTGCATTAAAATGGGGTAAAATGGGTTAGGAAGGGTTAAAGGGTCCAGCCCGCTGAGGAACGCCTTCACCTCCTGGGACAGCTCCTGGGCGCTGTGGGGAGGGAGAAAACGGGGAAAAATGGGTTAAAACGGGGTTAAAATGGGATAAAATGGGGTAAAATGGCATTAAAATGGGACAAAATGGGGTTAAGATGGGGAAAAATGGGGTTAAAATGGGGTTAAAAGGGGGTAAAATTGCATTAAAATGGGGTAAAATGGGTTAGGAAGGGTTAAAGGGTCCAGCCCGCTGAGGAACGCCTTCACCTCCTGGGACAGCTCCTGGGCGCTGTGGGGAGGGAGAAAACGGGGAAAAATGGGTTAAAACGGGGTTAAAATGGGATAAAATGGGGTAAAATGGCATTAAAATGGGACAAAATGGGGTTAAGATGGGGAAAAATGGGGTTAAAATGGGGTTAAAAGGGGGTAAAATTGCATTAAAATGGGGTAAAATGGGTTAGGAAGGGTTAAAGGGTCCAGCCCGCTGAGGAACGCCTTCACCTCCTGGGACAGCTCCTGGGCGCTGTGGGGAGGGAGAAAACGGGGAAAAATGGGTTAAAACGGGGTTAAAATGGGATAAAATGGGGTAAAATGGCATTAAAATGGGACAAAATGGGGTTAAGATGGGGAAAAATGGGGTTAAAATGGGGTTAAAAGGGGGTAAAATTGCATTAAAATGGGGTAAAATGGGTTAGGAAGGGTTAAAGGGTCCAGCCCGCTGAGGAACGCCTTCACCTCCTGGGACAGCTCCTGGGCGCTGTGGGGAGGGAGAAAACGGGGAAAAATGGGTTAAAACGGGGTTAAAATGGGATAAAATGGGGTAAAATGGCATTAAAATGGGACAAAATGGGGTTAAGATGGGGAAAAATGGGGTTAAAATGGGGTTAAAAGGGGGTAAAATTGCATTAAAATGGGGTAAAATGGGTTAGGAAGGGTTAAAGGGTCCAGCCCGCTGAGGAACGCCTTCACCTCCTGGGACAGCTCCTGGGCGCTGTGGGGAGGGAGAAAACGGGGAAAAATGGGTTAAAACGGGGTTAAAATGGGATAAAATGGGGTAAAATGGCATTAAAATGGGACAAAATGGGGTTAAGATGGGGAAAAATGGGGTTAAAATGGGGTTAAAAGGGGGTAAAATTGCATTAAAATGGGGTAAAATGGGTTAGGAAGGGTTAAAGGGTCCAGCCCGCTGAGGAACGCCTTCACCTCCTGGGACAGCTCCTGGGCGCTGTGCGGGGAGAAAACGGGGAAAAATGGGTTAAAATGGGGTTAAAATGGGGTTAAAAGGGGGTAAAATTGCATTAAAATGGGGTAAAATGGGTTAGGAAGGGTTAAAGGGTCCAGCCCGCTGAGGAACGCCTTCACCTCCTGGGAGAGCTCCTGGATGCTGTGGGGAGGGAGAAAACGGGGGAAAATGGGTTAAAATGGGGTTAAAATGGGGAAAAAAGGGGTTAAAATGGGGTTAAGATGGGTTAAAATGGGGTTAAAATGGGGTTAAAAGGGGGAAAAATGGGGTTAAAATGGGCTTAAAAGGGGGTTAAAAGGGGGAAAAATGAGGTTAAAGGGGGAAAAATGGGGTTGAAATGGGGGAATAATGGGTTAAAGTGGGGATAAAGAGGGTTAAAAAGTAAAAATGGAGTGAAATTGCATTAAAATGGGGTTAAAATGGGGTTAAAAGGGGGAAAAATGGGGTTAAAATGGGCTTAAAAGGGGGTTAAAAGGGGGAAAAATGAGGTTAAAGGGGGAAAAATGGGGTTGAAATGGGGGAATAATGGGTTAAAGTGGGGATAAAGAGGGTTAAAATGGGGTTAAAGGGAGGCAAAATGGGATAAAATGGGGTTAAAACGAAATAAAATTGGTTAAAATGGGTTTAAAGGGGGGGGAAATGAGGTAAAATGGGGATAAAAGGGGCAAAATTGGCCAAAACGGGTTTAAAGGGGTTAAAGTGGGGTTAAGGGGTGGAAATGGGGTGGAAAATGGGGTTAAAATTGGTTTAAAGTGGGTAAAATGGGGTTAAAATGGGGTAAAATGGGGTTAAGGAGGGGTAAAATGGGGATAAAAGGGGGAAAATTGGCTGAAATTGGGTAAAATGGGGTTAAAATGGGGTAAAATGGGTTAAAATGGGATTAAAGTGATGTAAAATGGGTTAAAATGGGGTTAAAATGGTGTAAAATGGGTTAAAATGGGGTTAAAGGGGGAAAATGAGGTGGAAAACGAGGTTAAAATGAAATGAAGTGAGATAAAACGGGTTTTAAGGGGTTAAAAGGGGGTAAAACGGGGTTAAAATGACATGAAATGGGTTAAAACGGGTTTAAAAGGGTTAAAATGAAATAAAACGGGTTAAAGCGGGTTACAGAGGGGGTGGGGAGGGGGGTTAACCTCAAGCTAAAACGGGTCCGAAAGGGTTAAAGGGGCTTCAAAGGATCCAAAAGAGAGAAAAAAAGGGGATTAAAAATGGGGGGGGAGAGCACCGGGGGCACCGGGCAGGGCCCGGCGCGGTGAGTCGGTGGCCCCGGTGACACCGGGGCGGCCCCGGGCTCACTCCGCCATCTCCACGTCGCAGCTCGCTCTCCCCGGCTCCTCCCGCGGCCGCTTCGCCTCGCTCGCCGCCGCCTTCAGCGCTGCGGGCACCGGGCGGCGGCTCAGGGCTCCGGTGTGCCCCCGGTGCCGCCCCCGGTGCCGCCCCCGGTGTCCCCTGCCCCGCTCACCCCTCCGCGACGCCCCCCGCAGCCGCTTCAGCTCCTTCCGCAGCCGCTTCCCCCACACCGGGGCCGGGACCGCGGGCACCGACAGCGACCTGCACCGGAGAGCAGCGGGAGCGGCCTGAGCCACCGGGGGACACCGGGGGGACACCGGGGGGACACCGGGGGGACAGCACCTCAGAACCCCCTGAGTACCCCAAGGTCCCAAATTCCCCCCCCAGGATCCCAAATTTCCCCTCAGGACCCCTCCAGCCTCCCCAAATTCTCCCCCAGGACCCCCAGAATCCCTCCCTGACCAGGTCTGGACGATCCTTTTTCCACTCCGGCCACGGACTTGAGGAAGTAGGAGGTGGGGGGAGTCCCGATGGTCAGCGAGTAGGTCCGGTCAGGCTGGGGGGGCACGGCGGGGTCACCGGGGGGGTCCCGCCATTACCGGAGCCGCCCCCCGGTACCGGGCACCGGCAGCGCGGTGAGGATCGGGACTGCAGCCGCCCCCCCCGGGCTTTCCCTCCCGCCGGGCCCCTCCCGGAGCCGACCGGGGGACACCGGGGGGACACCGGGGGGACACCGGGACAGCGCTCACCGCCGCTTCTGCCGCCGCCCCCGCGCCCGCTCCCGCCGCCGCTTGAACAGCTTCTTGCGCAGCTCCTGCGGGGCACGGCGGGGGCACCGGGGGGGGCCCGCCATTACCGGAGCCGCCCCCCGGTACCGGGCACCGGCAGCGCGGTGAGGATCGGGACTGCAGCCGCCCCCCCCGGGCTTTCCCTCCCGCCGGGCCCCTCCCGGAGCCGGCCCGGTGCCCCCCGGTGCCCCCGGTCACCGTTCGGGGCCGGTTGATTTTGCCTCCGATCCCCATCGCCCCCACGCGCCCGGCGCCACTTCCGGTCCGGCACCAACTTCCGGTCCGGCCGCACTGCCGGCCGCTGAACCCCGCCCCTTTGCCCATCCCCGCGAATATCATTGGCCCGTGGGCGCGCGGAGCGGGCTCTGATTGGCTACGGTGACGAGTGCCCCGCCCATATTCAAATGACTTTTAGACCAGCGCTCATTTTCATTTATTTTGTTTTCATTGGCTGGCGGGCGCGCGCCGGCGCCGTTGATTGGTGGAATTCTCCTAAGCCCCGCCCCACACCCGGCCTATATAAAATGGCCGCCGTCCCTCAGAGCGCTCTTTGGGCGCTGGGTGAGCTGCGGGCTCGGTTTGAGGTTCGGGATTTTGGGTGGGTTTTATCCTAAATCCGGGCGGGCGGGGGGAACCGGGCGGCTCACACCGTTCTTGGCGGGCCCCGGCGGCGCCGTGCCGGGCTCTGTGATGTGCGGAGGGAAAGCAGCGACCGGCGCGATGTCTTCGGTGCCGGCGGTGGCGTCCGCCGGTCCCACCCTCACACGCCGGGACAAGGCCCGGGCGCGGCTCCTCCGGGAGCTCCGGAGCGCTCGGGGCCGCCGCTTCACCGCCATTTTCTCCTCTGCAGGGCCCGCTGAAGGACCGGGAAGGCCGCGGGACCGCGCCGAGGGCGGACGGGTGAATTTGTAATTGAAATTGTTAATAAACCGCTCTGAACCGCTTTGGTCTCGTGTGTGCTCTCGGTAGGAGCGCGTCCCGGGGTGAGGGCGGGGATCCCCGGTTCCCTGCCCGCCGGTGGAGCCGCTCCGTGACCCCGTTCCCGACGGTCGGGGGGATGCGGCCGTGAGGCGGGGAGGTCTCCGGGTCCTCCCAGCCGCCGTCTCTATGATCCCCACGTGGCGGAGGGGATTTCTGCGCCTCCCGGCCGCCATCTCTATGATTCTTGTAGCGTAGGGTGATTTCCGGTCCTCCAGCCGCCGTCTCTATGATTTCCGAGTGCCGGAGGGGATTTCCGGTGTTCTTAGCAGCGTCTCTATGCTCTCGGCAGGGCGGGGGGCATTTCCGGTCCTCCCAGCTGCCGTCTCTATGATTTCCGAGTGCCGGAGGGGACTTCCGGTCCTCCCAGCCGCTCTCTCTATGCTCCCGGCGGGCCGGAGCGGCCCCGGAAGTGGCGCGGAGGCGGCGATGGCGCTGGACCGGCGGTGGCCGCTGGCGCTCGCCCGCGGCGCCGTCCCGGTTGCGCTGGGGCTGCTGCTGTGGGTGGCGATCGCGGGCGGCGAGCAGGAGCGGCAGCAGACGCTGAAGGTACGGGGAGCAGAGAAGGGTGCGGCGGGGACGCCTCGGGGAGCGGAACGGGCGGTGACCGCGCCGTGGTTCCCGGTTCGGCAGGGCCAGCCCGGCGCGGACGCGACTTTGGCGCAGCGGCGGCGCCACAACGAGCTGATCATGGCGGCGCTGCGCGAGGCGGCCGAGACCGACGACAACGTGGCGCATCGCGGGGCGCCGTGGCGGAAGTGACGTCAGCACCGGGAGCCCCTCACCCGCCGGTTCCCGGTGACCCGCCCTTTCCCCCGGAACCATCAGCGCTGGGCGCGGTTGCGCACGGAACTCTTTCGCGCGGGTGCGTCCGGACTGCTATAAACCACGGACACTTCCGGCGTCTCTTCCGGTTCCGCCATGTCGCCGCGGGGCGCGGAGGCCGCACCGGACGCGGCGGCGGTGCCGGGGCTCGGTCCGGCCTCGCCGCGGCCGCTGTTCGGTGGCTGCTGGAGCTGCCGCCTGCTGAGCGGCGCGGGGCTGCTGATGGCCGCCGTCTGGGTGTACCAGGGGCCGCGGAACGTCATGAAAAAGGGGACCCCGCCCTCCATGGGCGCCATCGCCCAGATCACCTTCGCCGCCGGTGAGGGGCGGGGCCGGGAACGGGGAGAGGGGGCGGGGTCTCTGATTTGGCGGGAAAACCGAGGGTTGCCATGGCAGCGAGGGCGGGGCAGGCGGAGGGCGGCCGCAGAAATTTCATTTGAATGCTTCACAAAATCCCCTCAAAATGTGCCCAAAATGGCGAGGGGGAGGAGCCGCGGTTGCCATGGCAGCGAGGGCGGGGCAGAGCCCCCGGGTGACCCCGGGTGTCCCCCCAGGTCTGGCCGGCTGGGCCATCGTCATCCTCGCCGACCCCGTGGGGCGCTGGCAGCGGATTTGGCGGGAAAACCGAGGGTTTCCATGGAAACGAGGGCGGGGCAGGGCCCCCGGGTGACCCCAGGTGACCCCGGTGTCCCCCCAGGTCTGGCCGGCTGGGCCATCGTCATCCTCGCCGACCCCGTGGGGCGCTGGCAGCGCCGGGAGCCCTGAGGGGACCCCGAAAACGGCACCGGGACCCCAAAAACGGCCCCGGGACCCCGAAAAACGGTCCCGGGACCCCCAGAAATGGCACCAGGAGCCCCGAACATGGCACCAGGACCCCCAATAAAGGCTCCGGGACCCTCAGAAGTGGCACCAGGACCCCAAAAACGGCCCCGGGACCCCCAAAATGGCCCCGGGACCCCCAAAAACAGCCCCAGGACCCCCAAAAACTGCACCGAGACCCCCGAAAACGGCCCCGGGACCCCAGAAACGGCACCGGGACCCCCAATAAAGGCCCCGGGACCCCCAGAGTGCCCTGGGGGGGACATGGGACGGGACAGACGTGGAGATTTTGGGGTTTTTTGGGTTTATTTGGGGGGTTTTGGGTTTTCGGGGTGCCCCCCTCAGCTCCCCTCCTTCTTGGCCACGATGACGACGGCGGAGGGAACCAGACCTGGGGAGGGGGAGCGGTCAGGACCCCCCAAAACCCACCCAGGGACCCCCCAAACCCCCTGGAGACCCCCCAATCTCCTCAGGGACCCCAAAATCCCCTGGAGATCCCCCCCAAGGAACCCCCAAACCCCCCAAAGATTTCATTTATTTTGTCTTC